AAACAACAACTGACTGTTGAGACGTGTGCCGACCACCGAACCCCCGCACTCCATATTTCTGCATCTCCGTACACTAAGCCCAAAATCCCTGACATTGGACTTTGCCCTCAACCGTATTAGTTAGATATGGGCCCAAAAAAACCTGCGCCTTGCGAGGACGCAGACCCACGCCTTCTGGGAGGCCGCCACGGGCCTTTGCAGGATAGCAGTCAAAAGAGTTGGCTGAGACCGAGGAAGTAGTGGAGGTGCAGGAGGGCAAGACTAGCTTTACGCAGTTCCACCTCATGCTGCTGCCGCTGCTGCTGCCGCTGCTGCTGCCGCTGCTGCTGCAGCTGCTGATTACTGCTTCTGCTGCTGCTTTCTTAGCATCTACACCTGACTATTAACTTTCCCCTCATCTCGAGCCTGGGCTCACGTAAGCTTCCTGTAAGAGTGCTGAGATCGTTGGGACCATCAATGTCCGCAGCGTTTTGATCTCCCATCCCGGCAGTGAACTGTCTTGGGAAGCGCCAGGTGATTGTTATTTGAGATGCTTTTCAGTAGGATTGCGATTACATAGAAATCTGCACGATATACGGCTGCAAAGAGAGGAACCTGGACAGGGAAGTCACATGCGAATTGCCTTCCGGGTAAAATCAGGATATCTTCAAGATAGCCTTATGCACATGGAGTTTAGTGAGCAAGTTCGGGGGTTACGGGGTCAAGCAGTTGCAGCCAGTCCTACACAAGCCCAACAATTTGGACACGCTCACCTGACCCTAAACATATGCTTCTCAAAAGTCTGGGTCCTTCTTCAGGCTCCATGAATTAGGCCTTCAGCTTCTGTAAGGGTGTCTAGGAAGTCCCTGGTTTTAAGCCCCCTCCCCTTACTAGTGATTATAATAGGTATAATGGAAAGAAAATGGAAACTACTCTCATGTTGGGGCTTTATAGGGGTAATATTGAGATAATGGAAACTAGAAAGGAAACTACTATTTAGGGTTATATAATCCCAGATCCAAAAACTCTCCGGAGGGTACTGCCTCGGCGTCTGAGAAAGCGAGGTGGCGGTCGAGGAGAACTTCCACCTACCATGCTTAGGGTCTATATTGGGGTTTACATTGGGGCTATCTTGGGGTTGTATTGGGGTCATATTGGGGTCTATATTGGGGTCTGAATTGGTTTCTATCTTGGGGGGGTCTATATTGGGGTTATATTGGGGTCTATACTGGGATCTATATTGGGGTCATATTGGGGTCAGATTGGGGTCTATATTGGGGTTTATATTGGGGCTTATATTGGGGCTATATTGCAGTCTATATTGGGGGTATATTGGGGTTGTATTGGGGTATTGGGGTCTATATTGGGGTCATTTTGGGGTCTATATTGGGTTCTATATTGAGGTTTATATTGGGGTCTATATTAGGTCTATATTGGTGTCTATATTGGGGTCTATATTGGGGTCTCTACTGAGGTCTATATGGGGTTCATATTCAGGTCTATATTGGGGTCTGCAGACTGCCTCAATAAAACACACATACCCCTTCTACCCTTTCTGTTTAGCTGCTGGGAAATCCACCCAGAGTTTGTCAAGTGAAACTTCATGCAATGCTTGGTTGTTGCATATGGTGCTTTGGCGAATCTGACCTTCAACCCTTGAGTCCAGCCGCATGCTGATATCATCTGGAACATCTATAGGCACTCACTCAAACCAACAAAGAACTTCCACGATAGGAATTCCCTGAAAGCCCTAACCCCCCCGTATCCCCAACCCCTACAATAGCCCCGCCTCAAGTCCCTAAAACTTGCCGAACTCGTAAGCCTTGCACCGGCAACTTGGTCCAAGCTGCTGTTCCCAAATGACATTAAAACAGTAGTATTCATGTGAGAATCTTGGCCCTCTGCTAGACTCAGGAAACCCAAGTTGACTCTGTTGGGCATTTGTAGCCCAATAGCTTAAGTACAAGTAACTTATAATGCTGAACCCAGATGCCTGAAACATCAACCTAAGGAAAATACCCGCCTCGCCCCATCTCCCTGTGACATCGTAGCCAATCGAAACGGCACGGACCGTCTCGCCTAGGCTCAGAGTTGTGGTTTCTTGTGGGGCGCCGAGCCCGCGTGAGCTTTAGGAAATTTTGGATTCAGGTTGAAAGCTTTAGGTATTGAGGTTGCTGGCTGCTAGTATCGCGAGCAGGCGCATGTTCAGGCGATCGCAGGGCCGTGCATGCTTATACTGCAGGCGTACTACCTGCAATAGGCTTTGCATTAATATGACCAGTGCGGAATGCCACATATGCATATTGGGCTTCTTCGGGGCTTGCAGGGATTTCTTAAAGCAGTCCTTGCAAGCCAAACCATTGTAAAGTTGCTTCTAGGGCTTGATGATTTCAAGGCTTTTGGCTTATAGCCTAGTATATTGGCGCGTCTTGGCAAGTCTCGCTTCTCCAGGCATCTGGTTGTAGCATCGTCCGTTCATCTACCGCATTCTTGGCACCTTTCCTCAACATCAATCCTCCGCGCGCCTAGCTCAGACCGGCGCTCAATGCACAACATCGGGTGCTGAGAAAGCCTTGAACTCAACTGTGAATCTCTGTTGCTAAGCGCTTAAGCCCTGAGATTGCCGTACCGGCGAGGACACTGCTCCAACATCAATTTACCTTGAGGCCATGCAAGCTTGATTCCCCATGGGCCGAATCTGATGCCTGGGCTGCCGCTGAGTCGGGGTGGGAGCTTCCCAGGCTCCGAACTGTGATCGGTAAACAAGGTCTGCACACACAACCCCGAGACAAAACATTGCAAGGGGCTTCTCATAGGGAAACTTGCAAACCGTCCCATCAGGTGTGAGCCTTGCAACCCTACTGCAAGCCCGCATTTTGTTGGATATATGATTTACGTTGTAAATCTGCAGCTACAAGCCCAAAAAATTGAAGCCCTGGACCCCAGACTCCAAGTCGTGGACCCCAAATCCATCCAAACTCAACCCTCTAACATGTCATACCTTAAAGCATTCCGCATGATTTGACAAACTGCCATTCCTGACACCCCGTGCAGCGTAACCAAAATCCTTGGAAAGTATTAGGCCCCCCCTTTTTGCAAGCCCGCGTGCCAATCTGTCTGGAGATGCACTCTGCCTGTGACAAGGTCAAGAGTGCAGGACTGTTTGAATATTTACTACACCCCCTGAATCCCTAAATACCCCAATCCATACGTCCAAACTCTTCAACCCATGCCCTGGTGTCCATTAGGGAGCGCAACTGCAAATCAATGCACATAGGGGGCGCTCCCGTGAACCAGGCAGTAATAATGGGGCCTAAAAAAACATGCCTCTCGGCATCATAGGGTTAAGGGCTTACCGTTTAGGCTAGATAGTCCGCCAAAACTTAGCCTGGAACTCCACTCTAGCACGGGACCCCAAAGAGGGCATACAAAGACCGCTGTCCTAATGGCAGCCCCTGGGGGGTTCCCTGTTCGTTTTGGAGAGAAGGCGTCATCTGTGGCAGGAACACCTGTGTTGCCGGTAGTGCGCACCAATTCTGGTAACAGTGATGATACAGAAGCCTGATCAGGACGGATTGTTCTCACAATGCTGTTCCAAAACAAGAAGCCCAGTCCTACTCTGAAGTCACTGAAATACAGTCAACAGCTTTGAGTCGTAGATATGCAAAACCTTTAAGTTTAGGGTTGAAGCTTTCAACATGCTTTGAGGATTCAGAAACAAGAAGGCGAGATGCGATCTGTGTTTCGTCGGTGGCTTCTGGCGGCAGACCGGACCTATGCAACTGGCTTGGATGTTTGGAGTGTTGGTGCTTGGGATTCATTCAGGGTTTCGGAAATGAGGCCTTGAAAGCCCTTAAACCCTTGCCTGGAAAACGTTCTTGGCGCCTACGAGTTCGCACATGGCACCCCACTACCACGCCATCAGAGAAACTGTCGCGGCTTCAGGTGTTGGAAGGTTTAGGGTTCAGAGGTCTCCTGAAGTAGATAAAATGTGGCAGATACGCAAAGCATGTGGGTTCTCCGAATCTTATCTACCTAAGCAGCACGGGATGCCCCACGATGCCTCATGCACCTTGTGCGAATTCTCAATTTTGCGGCGCTTGAGCGTTGTAGAAGGATGGACAATTGGTCTGCCTAGCCCCAGCCCTATAATATGATCTTAAGAAGGCGTTCAATCCTATGAGCATGGAAATAGCAGTTAACAGTCTAAGCGCACCTCAATGGGTGGGCAAACATATCATGCAAGATGCCCAATTCACGAGTCTTGCCCACAAGCCCTAATGCGGGTATGTGTGGAGAGTGGAGAGTACACTCGAGGACGCTCTTCACTACGAAAGAGGCAGTATAAAGCAGGATGCCGACTTCACTATTGGGGTGTTATTGTGCAAGGCTTAAGCCTTTGATTTGTAACGCTTAGAATTAGTGTTGAGCTGTACAGTAGCAACACTCATCTTAAATACGCTGCTGACAGTCCACTTCCTGCGTAAGGGGAGCCGTGGAATGTTGGACTGCTTGCTAGGGATGTTCCTGCAGCAACAGCAAGCAGGCCGTCGACGCTCAGCAGCTCCTTGATAGCCATTACCTTGAACAGTATCTCATAGGAGCACATAGCATTCCTTAACCCGGAAAAAGCGCTCTGACGGATAACCATGGCTAATGTGTTCAAGCAGGCTGTGTCAAAGGCCTTCTCCAGCGATAACGTGAGAATTTGGCTCTTGTTCAAGGGGGTGGGGGAGTGGACACATTGAATAGCCAAAATTGAACCGCGCATAATAACACGATGTTCATCTCCCCACTCCCGGCTGAGCACCAAGAAGTAAGAGGGCTCCACGTTGTCAGCCTTGCAATCGTAAAAACGTCCCCCCGGACCTCCCAGATTTTCACCACAAGCTTGCTTTTTGGGACTTCCATTTACGGATCATCGAAAATGCAGAGGGAAACCCCGTGCCTTAGGCCACTGGGAGGAAAACCCTCCACTGTGTACTACAGCAGTTAAGGAAGGACCAACGTAATCAACCTGCTCAGAAACGCACTGACACACATCCCTCATCACTGTCAGCCAGCGCCAGCGCACAGACCGTATGGCACTCAGACGGATCCCCCTGCAGGCCCAACTGCAAGAAGTGTGGGATAGACTGGCCCTTGGCGAAGTCCGCTGCAGTCCAATTTCTGCCGTTACGAAGATCCAGTTTAGCACCGAAAGAAATCAGGGCCGCGGCGGCCTCAAACTGAGCCGACTGGATGGCCTGCATCAATGGCGAGATGCCCTGCAAGTGATAGGAATAAAACGTCAGAACACTGGTCTTGCCAAATCGATGCTGCAAGGACTTCACAACGGCCAGCAGCCGGCCCAAAGACTTCGCGTCGCGCGGCATGTGGATCTGGAAGTTGATGTCAGCGCGCCTCAGCTAAGGTGTTGTTATGCACTGCGGCTTCTCATCTGTTTGGGGTACAATGCGTTTGTGGACATGAGCAGACCAACCAGCAACACGTGTAGATTCGACTTTTGAGTATGTCTCAGGGCATGATCTGACGGGCCTGTGAACTTGATTTGTAAAGACCCTATTCCCTCTTGACCTTGGGATATGCCCAAACCATTAACTTGCAAAAACAACGTACAACAGTTGTTTTAAGAAAGTGTGAGAAAACTGAGAACGGATGGTGAGCCAGGGCATCAGAGAAACAGGAGTGCCTTGGAAAAGTGTTTAAGAAGTGTAAAAGAGCGTAAAGTGTAAATAGCGATGTGGAAAAATGTGAAAATGTAAAGAATGTTCACTGGATTTTGAATGTTTTGAAGGCCTGGCAGCTCTGATTAATTCTTCTGCTTAACATTTGTTAGTTACACTGTTTTCTTACTTTCCGAATCGCCATCTACACTTGTGCTACATTTTATTCAGGCTTAATGTACACTTTTTGAGACGTTCTTCCTACCTCCTCTGCACATTTCATTTACACTTCTCGCACATGTTTAGCTCTTTTGCTGAGTTAACAGGTCCAAGACCTCACAAATCTTGCCACCCTGTGTCTGTGGAGGAAACAAACGGATACACTTGCAAGTGCAGAGGAGCTCTGCATTTGGATTTACTTGAGTTCCAAAGCATCAAGTGTGGCATGGCGTCCTGCAAAATGAAAGGCAGAAAGGTCCATACCGTTGTGAGTTATGAATATTGACTACCGTCAACCGTGCTGCACTATCTGGCCCCAAAATGGGTAATACAATGACCCAAAAATCTCCAAAACATGCAAAAAGGACATTCTTCCATACTCCTCGAAGTTCCACATAGACGTACCTGGTTATCGTAAAAATGTTCGGCAGCTTGGGGCCCCTTGGCAGAACTCAGCAAATACAACAGCACGCTGGTTGTCTAGATTATAAGGACACGAAACAGAAACACACGTATAGTCAGTAGCTAGTCTACACACTGAACCGGTATGGACCATATTCTCTCACACACACAAACAGACAGGCAATGACGAGTCGCAGGCCGATCAATCGGTGCACCAGCTTAGCCGATCCGCCCCGAAAAGCTGCGGCAAACTGCAGGGCTCGTGAAAGCTCCAGTGGGCCTGGGTCGACCTGTGCCACGAGCTCCTCCAAGGCTTCTGTTGCCGCATGACCTGACTTTCCGAAGCATGAAGTAATTAAGTCCATTCTGGGATTAGTTTCTATATATGCACCACTCTTTGGGGTAAGGTCGGGTGAGGTCGGGTGAGGTCCTTTTGTTTCTGCGCCTTTGGTCTTTCATGACTACGGATCCCTGTAACAGGCTATACTAGGGGTCATTAATCTTAAGGGCTAGTGTATAATATATATAGATATGTATACACTGACACTATACTCATATTCTACAGATTATCCAACTGTCACAGAGTGGGGGCAGTACCCAAACTATGGAAGCGTATAGTCCTCCTTGCACCCAATGACCCGCCGCAGCCAGGTAGGCGGTGTTCCCAATAAGGTTCCGGTGCAGTGGATTGCTACCTGCATCGCAGAGCAGTCGGATAATCTCCGCATCGTTGGGGAAGGTGGCACACATGAGGGAAGGCAGGAGCCCACCTTCAAGATGGGCCCTGGCTTCGATAAGCAACCGTGCAGCCTGGTAGTGCTTCGCACCCGATGCAATATCCAGTGCCGACATCCAGGGTGGATTGCCCATGGCAGGCACATCCTTCGATGTGCGCCAGTTCACGTTGGCACGCTGCTCCAGCATGCCCTTCAGAACTTCTGCGTTCCCACCCAGTGCCGCATAGTGCAGAGGCCGCCACCCCGCTTTGTCTACCTCTCCAATTCTCCTGAAGCCGTTTTGATGCAGGAACTCCGCCACTGCGTTACCGGCTCGGCCGTCGCCGCTGGGAAGAAAGCCGCTAAAAGACTCGACCTGAAGCTCACGCAGGTAGACGCCATTTAGATTGAAGTAGCGCCGGAATCCGGGCAGGTCGCCAGATCGCAGGCACTGCTTCAGGTTTTGCACAATAATCTGCCGCATCACCGGGCCTAATTTATGCTTATCCTCCTGGACTGTGAAATTGCCCTCCCCGACCATGCCAGCCGGAAAGGAATTCAGCGTGCCAACAACTTCCATGAATGTGCTGCTCTGGATCAGAACCCAGGTATTTTCTTCCGACAGCTCACGCGCGATTCTTTCCACGCGACACCACCCTCTTCGACTCCACGTGAGCGGTGAGAGCACCTTGTTCTCCTCAAAGCAATCGATCACCGGACAAAGAGCCAGAAAAAAGTGGCAGTTGGTGACGTAGGCGGGGATGCTATTGATGGCATGGGCCTGCTTGCTGCCATCCTCGTCATCTGCACCAAAACCGTGCCGGCGCTCCAGCTGTGGGCACGAAAAATAATCGTACCAAAAGAATAGTGCCTGCGCCTGAAAACAGGGTGTGCCATGAAAAGGAATGCAACAGCAAAAACTGTGGAAGGCCAGAAAACTCCCGCAGCTGTGTCCATGTCACTTGTCCACTTTCCCATTTGTTTGGCCTAGGTCCTTCATCACCCCTCTTCGACCCCTTGAGTTTCTGTTTCATGTTCCATCTGCACCTGGAGCTCCTGCATGCGGAGCGGCTTGGCCGTTCGCACTAGGGATTCGGTGGTGATGTCCACTGAAATTGACCCACTGCTGCTCAGCAGCCGCTTCACAACCTGGGCAGTCGAGAAGCACGCAGAGCTGCTGAAAATCAAGCAACTCTTTGTCGTGACTACTAGAGGAAATCTTCCTACTCTTTCTGCAGCAAACGCGCATGCATCGTGCCACTGGACTCCTTGCGATCAAGCAGCATCTTGCAAGACCTTCATCTGCTTGAATTCGGGATCTGGATGGTGCGTGGCAACCCACTGGTGCGAAACAAACGCTGCCTTGCCCATGCTGTGACTGAAGATGCACAGATCGCCCCTCACCTTCAGAGCATGGGGCGCGCAGGTAACAACTGCAAGTCAAAAGACAATGAGGTGAAAACTGTAATGGAGACTAGTAGTCGCGGTACTGGATATAGAAGGATGGCTGATAAGAGTGGAAATAACATGAAAAATACCGCCAGAAGAGTGAGGTGTCGGGTGCGGTAGTGTCCGAAACCAACACGTGGGGGGCGTCTTGCTGTGTAAAGGGCATCGTGAAATCAAGGAAAGCACGTGGGGCGGAAGAAGTAGCTTCTAAGAAGGTCTCAACAAATCTCAACATTATCCCTATGCTGCGTGCTCGACGTGGCTCTACGTCAAATTGTGATCCCTTCACGGCTTCACGGGCCTTATTTCCTATTCGCAACCCGTACTACCTGGACCCAAATTATTCCATAGTTGGACCTAATCCCAACACAACATACGACCCGGATGGCTACAAGGGCCTGATCTCGTTCTTTGACTGCTTGAGGGCTTGAGGAGGTTATAGGGTTCAAAGATTGCTGCCTCGTCACCTTCAAGGAGGAGGGGGCTAGGGTTTAGCAGCTAATTAGGTTCTACGGCATTCGCGTGGCAGAACTTGAACAGCCCAACGGACCATGGAATCGATGCCTTGACAGAGTAAGGGGATGACTGGTAAACCTAACGACCATTCATTCTAAATCATTGTGCCGTCCCGGCCCCCTTGTTGAATCCCTCTACACGATGGTCCTTCATGTTCCATTTCATGTCACTCTCTTGTTGTCCATGGGATTTTCCAATGTCACCCATGCCCCCAGGAATGAAAACGCAACCCTATGGGATTCCACTTGCAATCCTTGTGCAACCCCTTCTATACCCGTATATCAGCACTAATTATCCACACCACTGCTCGCTTCGGCCTTCAACTTCTCGTGCGGCTCGACGCTTGTCATCTGGAGGAGCACATGTGAAGCCACGGTATACATGGGGAAGAGCATTGGAGGAGCCTCGACAGGCTGCTTGGCGCTAGTAGAAATGGGTACATGTATGACTGATATGACATCTATTTGTTTACTGCTTTGTTCTCCTGTGCACACAATTGCTCAGACCGCCTACATGCTGCCTTGCAAGCCGTCGACCGCACCTTTCCTTTAAGAGCATCGCGCAAAGACTTCATTCCTGGGGGGGACCTGACTCGAATGGTACCTGTCGACGCTGTCGCCTACTACCGGTGCCGCGAATGCTACGGCTCTGGCAGCTCTTTTCTCGGCATCGTCCCATCATCCCCACCACAGCAAACACGCTAAAGGCAAGAACCTTGGAAATTCTGTGGCTTTGGAGTAGCAAGCCCCCAATGCACCTCCTGGCCTCTTCCCAATGGCAAACAATGCAAAATCTTCGCATGTCTGGGGGCGCTCAAATTTCACAAAAGACTGATTCAGAGCAACCCTAAGCCCTAGTACAGTGCTGCCGGACGAACCCCTCCAGCATCAGACAAAACGCCGAAAACATGATGTGTGGGCTCCGGAATAACGAGTCCTGGCAAACACTGGCATCAGCTACGCATCCCCACGGCAGTCATCGCACTATTACTACTTCTCCTCCTCCTGCCGCCGCCGCTACTTCTTCTGGTATTGATGCCAAGCAGCTTCTGCTTCATGTGGCAGCGATTGTGCATAGAGCTCCAGGGGTGTGGGAGACGTCGGGGAGCGACAGCAGGCCATGAGCTCGAATCGCAATAGCTCACGCTGGCAAGCACAGCAAGCACAAGCCCTAAAACCAAGCTCCTACGAGTGAGACCTGGAGAACTGCGTCATCAGCCCAGACAGCACTACTTCCAACGTCGCGAAGGCAATCCTACAAGCTTAAGAACTCTCCTCTATGTGAAAGAACACCTTATTCCTGAATCCTGAAATTACAAGACGATCGGACAGTTTCGCTACGTACAATGAAAGCTACCAGAAGATGCACTCCAACATGATGGAACGGAGCAGGTAGAACTGTTTCTAGAAAGGGGACCAGTACCAATGACAGCGTCCCAGTTTTAGACCGGTATATAAACAATTGGGGACACTTCCAGATACTCAAGCTTCAGCCAAGGAGCAGCACCAGCGCGAAATCCTCTTTACAGATGGAGAAGCATTGATTGGGTTTTAGGATTTTGGATGTGGGATAAGCCCGCATAGAACTTGCAGCAACCTTTTTTATGTAAGTTGGTGGTTCAAGCACATGTCGCAAAACTGAAACTATCTGTGCAAAAACCAAACTGTATTGGATGGAGGGTGGTTGCTTAGACTTAGGGTGTTGGAGCAGGTTGAGGGTGTAGGGTATGGGAGGGAGAGGGGGGTGTCAGGACTCAAGCCCAAACAGCACTTGATTGAGCACGACAGATTGCGCTCCTCTCCTGTCGGTTCCCTAGATGCAACGGCAATGCTCGAAAAACAAGTTTCACTCTCTTCCGACTCTTGAGCATCCGCACCGAATGACTGAAAGCCCAAACCCTCCAACCCCGAACCCCTCCATCCAAAATTTCGGAGCTAGGCCCTCACATCCTATATCCTTGCTTTCAAGCAATTCAAATCTAAACCCTTCACCTTCAGAGCCACAAAGCCCTAGACCCTGTAAACCCTGCAGCCCGACTGAGAACCCTCGCGCCAGCAGCCCGCGAAGCCTTCATCGTCAGGTGCTGCGACTCGAACCACCTTGCGCTGTGGCTGGGGTTTAGGGTTTACAGGATTCTGGGTTTGCGAGGCTGGTCGGGTTTATAGGACGTTGGGGGTTTTGGGGTATTGGGCTTAGGGCGGGTTTTGGGTGTGGGGCTTACGGTTTGGGAGTTTAGGCTAGGGATCTCTGGGCATCGCGGCTTCACCTTTAAGGGGCTAGATTACATGACTTGGCTATAGCTTGACTTAGCTTCCTAGGAGTCCTGAAGCTTCTTTCCCACTTGTAGTTCCGCACCAGACGAGGCGGCTGCAGCCGCTTTCAAAGTATCTATCGGATCTATCGGCCCCAAGAACTCCAACACTTGAGCCAACTCCAGTCATGTCTGTCACATTACGCCGTACCTCGGGTCTTGGGTCCTGTATATTCTGAACCTGAGTGCCCGTCTGCAGGTGTCTGCATATAGCGTACCCCTGCACGAGATCCCTAAGAAGCTGATTGCTCCACTAGCTAAAGCGAGGCGCTTTGCGTGCTTCAGCTGGAACCAAGCATGCGCCAGCATGATCAACATGGCTGCAAACCTTGAGCTCTTAGGTTTAGGGTGCAAGCTTAGGTCAAACGTGGCCAAACTGTTTCAGGACGAGGGCATGCGTGTGGGCTGATGGACAACGGGCAATGTAGGCGCATGTAAGCAAGTACAATATGACTTGGCAGACATAATTGCACTGAGCTTATACTGCGGGATACTGCCTGACTATTCGAGCTTTTACAAATACTCCAGACCTTAAGCTGAGATGGAGACCTCCAAGCATGGGGGGGGCGACTCTTGTTTTTCCGGGATTTGGCATTCCGCCTTTGTACATCCCATGTCCATGTTGCTTGCCATCTGTGATTCTCAATGTGATTCTCCACTACTGGTGCCTCCTGCCTCCAGAAACCAATAAACAGTCATATTTGGGACAGGGCTGGGATCCTGGCATAGTGCTTGGTGCCACAGAGCAGCTACCAGGTACCAGAAGAAATCTGCAGGATATTGTTGACCATAAAACGGGCTGCTACTGCATCAGGGAGGCGAGGTCTGCTTCATCAGGGGTCCCATCTCCAAAATCACAGTCCGGACTGCAACTGGAAAGTGGCAAAAGCAAAGCAACCAAAAGGATGCTCCAATTTGAGCTGCTAGCAGGCCAGTGAAATCTCTCACGACATCCTCAAATGGGTTCTTGGAAGACGGCAGTCGCAAGCATTCCTATCAGCTTATGAGTCAGCGGACCAATACCACCCTCCCTCCTCGTGCTGACAACGAATAAGCGGTGGCTATGTATGCCCACGTAGCACCAAGAATACATGCGGAATATCTGCTTCCGATATGCACTGTACCCGAAGGCTGCTTAAGGGGCACGAAGGATTATCGGCCGAGGGAGGTGATTCTGACCAAGTAGCCAAAGGAAGAGCACAGTCCTGAACAACGAGCTAAGTTTCGACAGCGGCAGAGTTTATGGTTTTGGGAACACGGCCTGCAACATCTGGGGGTTGTTGAAACATGTCTGCCCTAAGTCATCTTGGGCATACATGGGTATTCTCGGGGGATTGCAAAAATCCGCTTCTAACCGCCTCATAGACTTCCTGGGCAAGGGTGACAAGGTTTGCTGTTTTGACGGATCGAATGAAGCTGGGGATCCCATGAGCTGCGCCTGGCAGCTAAAAGCTTAGCTTATCCAAAGCTTGAGCCTCAAGGCCTTGTAAGTTCCGAGTACAGGGTTAAGAGTCTACATGATCCGGCCCGACAGTGAGGCTGGGTGCATCATAGGTCGTGTCAACACTGAATGACCCGTTGAGAGATGTCATCACGAGTCTGCGGAACAACCTAGTGCCTTAAGACTTGTTTGGTTTGTGGTGTTTGGCACTCCTGCTTTGCTTTCGCATCGCGGGGCTGTGACAACATGCAAAGTACGGGCTTGCCATGAGATCCCGGGAACTGAAACAAGTCTTGAGTTTGCAAGGTGAACAGTTGCAATTTCGCAGCAACCGTATCTAATTTGTTAACCTCCCGCCATGGCATGCCTGCGGTCAAACTATCAGGTATGCAGACCTTGTGACAGCTCCCTCGCATGTCCCATGTTCCTACCGTTGAGCCTTGTATGCTAAGCTCTGGAATACGATGGAGTTAAGGCTCATGTCGCCGTCTCATTGAGGCCAAGAATCGTTGAAAGTCTGCGCATGAAGCCCTGGGCAGGTCGTGGATGAAATGGTTAAGGCAAGGGAAGCTGAAACTTCAGCAAGACGAGCGAAACTGTTGCCTGAGCTTGATTTAGATTAGCACGGTTTAATGTTTGAAGCTAGATTGCTACGAGGCTCCCGAGACTTGCTGGCAATTTGTTGTGTCACTCGGAACCATTTCACTGTAAATGCTAACCGAAGCCACATACAACGAATGCAGCTCCAAAAGCGCTGACAGAATCTATTGGGACCCGTGGAAGGCATGACACTGCAAGAACCTTGTGCAGCCTGTAACATCTGGAGACACACTCTAGCATGTATGTTCTTTCCAATGCCAGGGATTTGGGACGACCATGCACGTATGATTTAGAGCTAACGGTTTAGGGCACTGGCATTGAGGTATGGACGGAGTAGGTTGGGATTGTGGATGCGAGGCTTCCGACAAACCGTTGTGTTACATGAAACACGGACTGTTGAGAGAATCTAAATCCACATCCATCCCTCAAGTCAGCCTCAACCGCAAAATTCCCCAGCAGTTATAAACTTCACTACCACGTTCAGAGAATCATACCAGAAGCTTTACTAAGAGCTTACTTGACTCTTCTAAGCTAGAGTTGCGAGCACCCACAGTTAGCAACTACGCCCTGGTCTTGAAAGTAGTCGCCTACTCCAGAGGCAAAACCTCAAGACCATTTTTCACCCTTGCAAACATATACAATGGTACTGTATAGCGAACTTACGATTATAGCGGCATTTTGAGAAACTACACCTTGCCTGAGCTGTAGTATCCACGTTGAAGCGGGTCAATCCGTGATCCTGAGGAAGCATGATGTAGGGATCTGGTGATGTAGGGTCTATGGCGGTCATAGTCATAAGTTGAAAGATTCAGGCTCCACAGTCAGTATCTGAAGTAATGATGGGCCACGTAAGCTTGATCTATCAAGATGATACGTGCAAGCTCTGTAACACTAGCCAGTTAGCCTCGCAGCAGACGCAAGTAGGGGACTGGTGGTCACGTGTCACCACAAAAAAATTCAGCTATGTAAGTCTTGTGCACATGAACTCGAATGTCGAGGCCTTGGCTCGTCAACGATAAGGCCCGTCTGAACTGCAGGCTGTA